CACTAATTATACTAAAACTGGCTTTCTTTAGGCCTAATTTCTGATCTTAATTCGTTCTGGTTATACTAAAGCTGTATATTGATCAGCTGAATGAAAACAACGAATTGTGCTCTGTGTGAAGTGAAGGGTTCACAATCAAAACATAAATTATTAGTTGTTTACTGTTCTTTTTATTGTTTCGTGATAACATAAAATTTATCATGACACCTGTTGTTAAGTACCTTCCAAGATACATAAGGACACCTGTTGTTAAGTACCTTCCAAGATACATCATGACACCTGTTGTTAAGTACCTTCCAAGATAAATCATGACACCTGTTGTTAAGTAACTTCTACGTTACATCATGACACCTGTTGTTAAGTAACTTCTGCATTACATCATGACACCTGTTTTTAAGTACCTTTCAATATACATCATGACTCCTGTTGTTAAGCACCTTCCACGTTACATCATGACACCTGTTGTTAAGTACCTTCCAAGATACATCATGACACCTGTTGTTAAGTACCTTCCAAGATACATCACGACACCTGTTTTTAAGTACCTTCCAAGATACATTATGACACCTGTTTTTAAGTATCTTCCAAGATACATTATGATACCTGTTGTTAAGTACCTTCCAAGATACATCACGACACCTGTTGTTAAGTACCTTCTACGTTACATCACGACACCTGTTGTTAAGTACCTTCTACGTTACATCACGACACCTGTTGTTAAGTACCTTCTACGTTACATCATGACACCTGTTTTTAAGTACCTTCTACATTACATCATGACACCTGTTGTTAAGTACCTTCCAAGATACATCATGACACCTGTTGTTAAGTACTTTCCAAGATACATCAGGACACCTGTTTTTAAGTACCTCCCAAGATACATCAGGACACCTGTTTTTAAGTACCTTCTATGTTACATCATGACACCTGTTGTTAAGTACCTCCTAAGATACATCATAACACCTGTTATTAAGTACCTTCTACGTTACATCATGACACCTGTTATTAAGTACCTTCCAATATACATCATGACACCTGTTGTTAAGTACCTCCCAAGATACATCATAACACCTGTTTTTAAGTACCTTTCAATATACATCATGACTCCTGTTGTTAAGCACCTTCCAAGATACATCATGATACCTGTTGTTAAGTACCTTCTACGTTACATCATGACACCTGTTATTAAGTACCTTCCAATATACATCATGACACCTGTTGTTAAGTACCTCCCAAGATACATCATAACACCTGTTTTTAAGTACCTTCTACGTTACATCATGACACCTGTTATTAAGTACCTTCCAATATACATCATGACACCTGTTGTTAAGTACCTCCCAAGATACATCAGGACACCTGTTGTTAAGTACCTTCCAAGATACATCATAAACACCTGTTATTAAGTACCTTCCAATATACATCATGACACCTGTTGTTAAGTACCTCCCAAGATACATCAGGACACCGCAAGCAAGACAATATTTTTATAGGAATTTCTGGATATTTCTATTGGTTAAAGCAAGCAAGACAATATTTTTATAGGAATTTCTGGATATTTCTATTAGTTAAAGCAAGACAACATTTTTATAGGAATTTCCGGATGGTTGGAACTTAGCAGAGAGAAAGAAACTTTTAATGCACTGAAGGATTGTCACCTTACTATAAAGATGATCCATTATGTGTGTGTGTTTGTGCATTCATTACTCAAGTTTAGCTGGCTCGGTTCTCTTGTGATTTTGGTTGGGTAATTGGAAACTGATCAGAGGTGTACATGGGCTGTTTTGTTTTAAGATTTTTGCCAGAGAAAGAGATAAAAAAACACTCTGAAAATGGGCACGTTTCATTATTTTATACATTTTTGACTTTGAAGTTAAAGAAACAACTAATTAATCAGTTAAATTGTTAATTATTACCTTTCATAAAGCAGAGAATACAATTAGCATCTAATGGCATTCTTTTGGATTTAATAACAAAAGAAAGAAGGAAAATAAACATTATCTAACATTGTCCTTTATACAATTTTTGGTTTTATAATGGTTACTCTCAGCTAAGTATTGTAAAGATGACTTACAACAATAGTTATTAGGGTTAGACTATTTAATCCCAGTGATACGTTACCGGGTTCTTTCAATTGGCTAATGGAAGTTTTAAATAAGAGGAGTCATGATGTATATTGGAAGGTACTTAATAACAGGTGTCATGATGTAACGTAGAAGATACTTAAAAACATTTAACCAATAGAAATATCCGGAAATTCCTATAAAAATGTTGTCTTGCTTGCTTTAACCAATAGAAATATCCGGAAATTCCTATAAAAATGTTGTCTTGCTTGCTTTAACCAATAGAAATATC